TTTAAACAATTGTAAGGCGTTATTGAAAACGAATACCTATAATATAAATCGCTCGAAGTAACGGCACTAAGGTGGCGAATTTTCTTTTAAACAATTAATGTACAACGCATCGCGTTATTGAAAACGGAAAGTAAAACATAAATTGCTCGGAACAACGACACCACTGCGACGAGTTTTCCTCTAGGAAATTGATATAACGTATATTTATAAATGCAACGTCAACGGTGAGCGATTATGGTAATATGTATATCTACGACGAAATGCAACCATTATACGCAGATACCGTTAATGATTATAGTTCCTCGCAACGTAACCACGGTTACGGTCTGGCTAGTTACGCCGAACTTGCGTAATTTATTGTCAGCGGTATTTTGGTTGCATTATACAGATATCGCCCATTAGCGTGACAACAGGGAAGTATTTAACGACAACCGACGTTATAACGCGCCATCCCGCGCCTCCTCCGCTCTCCGCTCCGGTCAGATATTAACCGATAACTATGGACCGATTAATCCCGGATCCGTTCGTCGTGCCGGTGTATTTGTTTAGCATTTTGATTACGTATCCGCACATTCGTAGCTGTCTATTACTATAATTAAGCCGAATACGCGCGCCGTTTATGACGCTTACGCGGTACTCCGTCCGAAGAGATTACACGCCTCTCCCCAGGATCCAGCTTCCGGATTCAGCTTTCGGGATCCGGCGCGTAAACGAGCGACTATATATACGTGCACACGCGCGTATTATTTTTTATCGTAGCGACGCGCGGCCATTCATGAGTTGGCGCTTATCTAGGACACGGCATCATTATACCCATTAATCCAAGTTAATTAACTCGCGGTGCGGGAATACTGCTCGCAGCTGTTTGTCGAAAAGTCGATACGCTCATTTACTTTGGTAATTAAGTTATGCGTTGCGGAGACTACTCGACGCGAAATTCCGTAGATACCGTAGATCGCGATGTCTTTCAAACGATAAGTATCGTTCAATTGCGCGACATAAACGCATCGTTTAGAGCTGCTCTCGCTCTCGTGAAACCACCCTCGCGACGTATCGCACCGCGCAACGGAGCCGATTTACATTTTTCCTTCCGTCGAGGCGAACAATCGTCCGAAATGAAATGGACACGACTCACCAGCGGGCGACGTAACCGATATCGATTGCTGGCCCGAATTGGAATTGCCGCTACCGCTCGTGTTCAGCTTCCTCAGCTGCTTCTTGTGCTTCATCCGTCGATTCTGGAACCACGTTTTCACTTGCGTCTCGGACAGGTGTAACGCCGCCGCCAGCTCTACCCTCTCGGGCGTGCTCAGGTATCTCTGCACCTCGAACCTCGCTTCCAAACCTGCCAGCTGCTGGTCGCTGAATACCTGAAGCCGTAAGGAAGCAAACTCTTGTCTCCTACAGTCGCGAGAGAGATAAATAGGGGGAAAAGAAAAAAAAATACATATATACATAGTTAAAAGAGAGCGAATGTGCAACTAGAATGGCGAGAAGCGAGAGGTGAACGACCTGATGATCGTTCATTCGGCAACGAACGCATATCACAGATACGCCTCGTTGCTGTAAAATTGTAAATAATTGCACGCGAATTCGACTTGACCCCGATTTGCGTTTTGCTCCGGCTCCAACAATCGTCGATTTGGAGAGTCGACTATTCACTATTAATTAAATATTAAAGGATGACATTTAAACCAATACATTGAGTTAAATAGCATTTTGTTATTTTCAACTACCATGTGTGTCGAAATATATTATTTTAGTACAAAATAGTATTATTTTAATTCCATTGATTTAGTTAAATTATACGATATATTGAGTGGGAGCAGTGTGGCGATCTACAGGAATGGTTGACTCAAATTGAGTATAATTTGACACCACGAATTTAACAGTGTTCGATCCATAACATTTACAAGTTGGACGCGGCTTCTCGATTTCCACTCCGGATGCAGATGGAAGGCACCGGAGGAGGGAAGGAAGATCGAGGATGTACTCACGGTTCGGGCCTTCCGTCGTCGGCAATGCTTGAGAGCGGCCAATTCCCCGACCCCCGGTACCACGCCGACTCCCATGCCAGCGCTACCGAAGAGCGGTCCCAGGAAGAAGGCTGCCGCGGCGGGCGGTGCCGTGGGATAACCGGGGAGCAGACTGGCGAACTGCTGGTACTGGTGGTGCTGCCCGTGGCCGGAGGTCGGCGTCAGGTGCTGATGGTGCAGCTGATGGTGGTGGACGTGCGGGGTGACGGTGCCGCGGCTAAGGATATCTTCGATGAGGAACGACGTCCTGCTGGCGGAAGTCCCGTTCTGGCCTGGCTGAGCTTGTTGCTGCTGGCAGGTCGACTGCATCTTTCCTCGTTCGACACTGCGTTGCGGCTACGACGCGGGGCATGCCCCGCAGGTTACATCCTCGCCCGGGCGCCCTGGCGCGACGCCAAGGTCGCGAGATCCTCGCCGTGCCCCGTTCTTCGCGCCAAGGGGATCTCTCGATCCGCGTCCGCGTGCGCGCGTGTTTACAACGGGGGTCCGACGCCGCACGAAGACGGTAATTTCGCGGGGCTCACTCTCGAAACCGGTCACTTTTCTCTTCCGCGGATTGGCGACCACTTGACCCTGAGACTTGGCTCAGCTAATCGGACGTCGTTCGTCTCGCGAGTTCATCCGCCCGACGGAATCGTGATTGATCGTCGCGGATCCTGCCACGGATCGGGTACGAATCCGTGCGAGACGCCGTCTGTCGCTCACTGTCTTTCGCCGTCGTTCACCGAGTCCTTCGTCGTCGTTCAGGGCGCGTATAGAGGTGAGCGCGGCGCGATTCAGGGCGATTCAACCCCCCGCGACGCGATCATCGGCAGCCCCTCCCGCTAGTTAGCGTACCGCGGCGGCCCCCGTATCTCCGTGGAAGGGTGACGCTTGAATCCGAGGGCCTGGCGCCCGCATTGGCCGGCGTCGCGACGCTCGCCGTCGCCCGGGTTGGCTCCGCGAAGGTCCCGGGGGCGGGACTCGGCCACTCGTTTCCATGGACACCGCGCTCGGGTACTCGTGAATTCAACGGCGTACGAGGAGGCGGCAGTGGCGGTGGCGGCAACGATGGAGGAGGAGGAGGAGGAACGGGAGGGATGGATCCTTCTGTATTCGCGATTCCTCTCCATTCTGTCGCGCTCTCACACGAAGATAATAATGCGAAGTGCAAGCATCTATATGTAAGAGTACGTTACGAAAACCCTCGCGCTCAGCCACCCCCGGCGCAGCGCAGCGTAGCCGTCCGTTATACGTGCGCGACGCGCGACGATTCCCGGTTGCGAGTATTTATTGAAAACCAATTCTCCCCAGTCTCGTAGATAAGGCTCTAATTTCGAAAGTGTCCCTCCTCCCCCTCCGCGATACTCCCCCCTCGGGACAACCGAAACGATCATCTTCTTACGCGCAGCATCGTCTCGATCTCGATTCGTCGCGCTCCCCTGCATCCCACGTAATCAGGTTCCTCGTACGATGCGCGAATACCCCGCCTCGCGCCGCGCCGTATCGGTATTGAATCTTGGACGAGAGAGGACGGGCGGAAACGCGGGATTAAATTACTTAGCGGATCGTGTATACGGGGGCGCTTTCCAAATGGCGCGGTACGAGCGTGTGCGGCGCTTGACGAGATGACTACATCATATCTCCATACCCGAGCAATAAACAAAGTACGAGGTTTCTGAAAGCGTAAATTCGACGGAAAGACGCGATACCGACGCGTCCTTCGGAAATCGTCATCCGGTTGGGATAAGCGGGATGCGCGCTTTTTCCGTGTTGAGGGCAGCGTAAACGTCTTAACACTAGACACCTTATAACATTATTATGATATATGTAGACGTTCTATACAGAACTTTAAAATTAGAGTGGTAGAGAATAAATTAGAATATATATATTATAATAATTTTTTTATCTTGACAAAAGTCGATATGAATTCCAACAAAAGCACCTTAATCGGGTTGGTTATTCTAGTGTTAAAAAAAAGAAGAGGGAAAGAAAAGAAAAGAGCGAAGAAAAGAGGAAAAGAAAGGAGATAAGAAGAATCTTGCACTTTAACAGTCTTAACGTTAATCTCTCGACGGCTTTTCGTGTATCTCCGATGATCTCTCTTCGTACTCTGCTGGCGTGACGACGGCCGGCTATGATTAGGGTCGAGGGACGCGTGCCGACATTTAGACGGGGTTGCTTCTGCGATTATTGAGTAAATTAACGTCGCGGTAATTGCGTTACCGGCGCGTGTCCATCCGTCCGTGTGCGTCCGCCCGCGTCGCCCGGCGTCGCTCGGCGTCGCGTAACTCTCGCCTCACCTCGCACCCTCCACGCATTTGCGCTGAGAGAGAAAGAGAGAGAGAGAGAGAGAGAGCCGCCCTCCGCGCGGCTCTGCCTGTAAAGCCGAAAATCCATCGTCCGGGGTTCCGGCCGCGGCTCGAGAACGTCCTTCGCCGAGACTCGTGAATCCTCCGGGGACTCGTTAGACAACGCGAGAGCAACGGGAGGCACGCATTAATTTTCAAGTTTTGTGTTTATTGTGATACGTGTCGTACAGCCCAAAGCGCGACGGGCTGCGCTTTACAATGATGCGCTTTTTCGAACAGGAGAAATGTACACCTAACTCGCTCACGCGACGATATAGCGCATTGCGCTTTACGATATCTTAACAAAACGTATAAAAGATACGCCGTACATATTTGATGAAGCTTAGACTAGATGTATTCGATGCGTCATCCGATATTTGCGGATCCTGTTGCAATCTAAACACTATATCTCTTTGTACCTCGTTGTTTCTTGATGTCTGCTTAATGTTAAAAGAAGCAAGAGTAAGTAGCAAAGAGGTGCAACTGCGTTAAAAACAATATATATACACATATGTTGTTAAATGTCATCGTCGTTGGACGCGCGTTTATAGAAGGCACGGGAGAAGGTGGCAGGACCTTGCGACCCGCAGAAGAAGAAGCCGCGTCGCCAGAAGACGAAGAACGCCATGCCGATTGGAATCGCGACGAGTAGACCGATTAGCACTCCCACGAGGATCGCGGCATCCCTTTCCGGTCTCGCGTTCCACAAATCCAAGCAGCGTAGATGTCGGTCAGCCAAGGACGTGAGCTTCTTTCCCTCATGTTCCGGCGGTGCGGAACAGTTGAGCTTCTCGGTTTCTTCGCCCATTAGCGCCTCGCCGTATTCCGGCAACACGTTCCCGATCTGCAAGAGATAATCCGTTAGTTATCGTCGTATTCGATCCGATCGCGACGAGCGAGATCCGAGCCTCTTTACTCATTTTTTTCCTCCCCCGACAGCTCGCGCGTCCCTCGATTGTCGGAACTTACCAGATATTGATTACGGCAATCGCAGCTCCACTGGTTGTTCGTCAGGCGCAATTCGTCGAGCTTGTCCCATCTCCCGATGAGCAACATCGGCAGGTACCGGAGAGCGTTGGACGCCACGTTCAGCTTTTTCAACGGCGGCCATATCGTGCCCTCGGCGGTCTACGAAGCAGTAACGCAGTAAATTATAACCGTTGTCGACGATGCATTTACCGTCGGCTTTCGTATGTCCGACGTACCTTGGACGCCATCGCGTACTCATCGATACGCTGTAATTTCTTGCAATTTTGCAACTGGAGACTCTCCAGGCTGGTCAACGCCGACAACCCGCCGAATCCAATCTCTGTCAGATTCGGCATCTCGCGCATACTGAGCTCCTTCAGTTTTGGCAGTTTGGGAAAGGCGTTCGCGAGATTGATAGTGCGTATCGAATTGCCATCCAAGCTAAGGTACTCCAAGGTCTTGGCTTCCTCTAAGGCCCTGGGCGGAACTGTGAGCTTATTGCCGGTCAGGTTCAGCTTCTTCAAATTCCTACGGAAGAGCAACGGAAAGATCTCAGGAAACCCGATCTCGGGCGACGTAAACGTAACCGCATCAAAACTGTAATCGTCGCATATATTTCTCTGTCTCTTACTTCGCATTGTGGAACTGAACGCTCGGCAGTTCTCTCAGCTGGCAATAACTGATGTCCAACTCTTCCAAGTACGACACGCTGCTGATCGCTATGGATGTACGATAGTCGAATACGCCAAAGGGATTTTCCGCTAGCTTTAGCACCTTAAGGTCGGCAAGGTGCTCAAATATGCTCTGATGTAACCAGTGGAGTACGTTACCACTAAGGTCCAAGATTTTCAGGGTCAGAGGCTCGTACGCTTCTGGCGAGAACCTTCCCTGAAACGATCAGGAATAACGTCATTCATAATAAACAAATAGGAAAACAGAAAACATGTGGTAATCAATTTGAGCGGAATAAAAGTCGCAAGATTCCTTTATAAACGAGGAAGCGAAAGTTTTAAACAAGGTGTGGACGAGTAATGTCCATTTTCATCAATGCAGATTAACCTTAAGTAATTTAAATTACTTTATATTTTTATCTAATTCTTAGAACTAGAAAAAGATAAAAAGTAATAAATCAAGATTAAAGTCTGCGTTAGTACAAATGAACATAAACGATTTATCTGAGAAGAGAGTTAAATACCGCGATGCAAGGATAGCGTAGTCATGAGCCACATAAGGCTCATCAATCGGTAATCTTATCATCATGAAACGTTTCACTGCCGTATCAATTCTAAAAAAACCATCGAATTCAGAGAATGCTGGGAATTCGGCACTCTGTGAAATAAATTTTTCCGCGAATTCGCTTTATCTGTACAAGTTGAACGAAGACAGATATTCTTTTTAGCTTATTCCTCTCTCGTTATTTTCTATCGCTCGCGAGCCGAACAAACGATCAATGCGCGACGGTAATTTTCGGTTGGAATAAAATCAGGACAGTTTCGCCGAAATGTTGATCGATTATGTATCTCCAAGCGATAGAGCGTTCTACGATAAATCCTTTCATATCCAAACTATTTAACGGCTATAAAAATATATTTGTACCTTTATGCATATTTTATGACAAATGAGCGATTCATAACAACATTTTGACATTTTGAAAACAGTTAAGGACTTTATGCGTCACTTTTATTGCAATTGTGTATAATAATTTGCATTGCGAAATTATTGTACACAATGAAATTTGTGCGCAATAACTCTTTATACTTCTTTTCTTACTTTTGGTCAGTAAATTCACTCGAAATATTTCGAGGAAGTTATAGTTTTACGAGCTTTGTATAAAATTATAACTTTCTTGAAATATTAGCTTGAACTTATAATAATTCTTATCACCGAACCGTAGCGGTAACAAATGAAAGATGTGATAACACCTAAAAAGTTATTCAAATACATATCGAGATACGTGCTATCTATTATCTATAAGTATACGAAGTTTCTATACCTCATCCAACGAGAAATCATGGTTGATCAAACATAAATATAACGATAGGGCACAGAGCCGCAACAAGGTGTGCGCGTTAAATTATTTTTACTTTTAATAGTGTTGGACAATATTTATTAAAAATAAAAATAATTTAACGCGAACACCTTGTTGCGGTTCTGTGCCCTATCGTTATTTATCGTTGTTTGATCAGCCATGATCTCTCGTTGGACGGAGTATATAGTTATCTATCTAAGACGAAGGGAACTAATGTATATTCGCTAATATGAAAATTTAGATGACAGTAATGTCTTTTAAATTCTAAATACGCGGCCGTGTGTGGCTACAGTCGAAATGGGAAAGGAGTCCGGTTAAGTGCGTCCGGAATCGCGGAGCGTCAAAATCTCTCTCGTCGATCGATGAATCACGAATTGGAGGCGAGCCACGTTCGCTCCGCGCCTTTTGATCGGCCTAACGCGTGTTAACTCGCGCGAAGATATCGTTCCGATTACCTCGAAGACGTGCGGCTGCAGCTGCTCCGACGTGAGCTGGTTATGACTCAGGTCCAATTCGGTGAGATTAACGAGCTCCTTGAAGGCGCGATAGTCGATTTTCACGATACGGTTCTTTCGCAGGATCAGTTTCCCGACGGCTATCCGCGGGAAGGGCGTGACGTGCACCAGGCAATTATGCTCGAACGAGATTACCTTCGCCGTCACGTTCGACCATTGCTCCTTCTCGAAGTGCGTCTCCAAGCTGCGATTGCTGCAGTCCACGTAACTATCTAAAAAGGAGTGCGTTACTCTCATGTCTATCGATGCAGATTAGCTTTAATCTCACACATAGTTTAACTTTACTTTTTTATTTGTTTTAAATAATTCTTAGAACTGGAAGAGGATAGAAAGTAAGTTAAGCTAATCTTAAAACTGAAATGTCTATAATAATGTCCATTTCTACCAATGTAGATTAATTTTAATCTCGATTTAACTTACTTTTTACCTTTTTTCTAATTCTTAGAACTAGAAAAAAAAGTAATGTTAAACCGAGATTAAAGTTTACCTACATTGGTAGAAATGGACATTAGACATTTTAGTTTTAAAATTAGCTTAATTTACTTTTCTATCTTCCTCCAGTTCTAATAATTATGAAAAAAAAAGATAAAGAATATTCTTCGAAAAGATAAAGATAAAGAGATTAAAGTTATTCTTCGAGCTAGAAAAGGATGAAGAGTTTATAACCCGAGATTATAGAGTTAACATACATATTGGAAATGGATATTAACTATTGAGCGTCCCGTGAATTTTTGTGATTCGAAGAGAAAACTTTGCCACACATGTTACCGCGATGAGCGCGTTATCAAGCGTTGGCTCGCCTTCGATCGAGCTAGATAGTATATTGAATTGCGACACTCTACCTGTACAAGAACACACGGCACATATACTTTCGGGTCCCGACGTCACGTTGTCCGCTTTAATCACACTCGGAACTATGGTCGTCGCGTTTCCCGGCGTTTCCCGGCTCTCGCACCTCGCGAGAAGGATTACCGCGAGCAGGGGCACCGACAGTCGCAGGTCCATCCTGACGCGTAGAATAAGCTCACGACTTTCTGAGCTTCCTCGCGGTGTCGACTGAAATTGAATATATCCGACCGTATCTGACGCTTCGCGTATACGATAACAAGGTGTAAGCGCGATAAGATAACATCGCTCGTTTAATTACTCATCGCTCGAGACGAGCTGGAGAAGCGCTGAGAAACGCGGCGTTAGCTGATGATAATCCCGCTCTAAACCACGAGCCGATTCGATCTCGAGACGTAATTTCGAATTCAAATCGCGATATTTCGCAGGCGACGTGTTTTAGCATCTCACCCGCGCGCATTGTAAGAAATCTCACGAAATCGAAAGTAGAGAATTTTGCTGCGCAAAACGCGCAACGTGTCATTGTAGGAGAAGATATCGTGTGTTGAAGCGTGAATTTTTTCAAGTGGCTGTCCGAGTTAGTATAGAGCCTCCGCACAAAACTTTCGTATTATGGGAACGTAATAACGTAGATCAAGAAACGTATTGACGTATAACGCCGTAACCGATACGTTTCTTGTGCGTTGATACACGTTGCGTTAAGGTACGTTATCATAACGAGAGTCTTGTGCGGAGGCTCTTAGCTAATCGCCGCGGCGCCGGTCGGAATCGGAGAGCCAGTTTGAAACGCGGGGGCCGAACGCGATCGATCGTTATCGAGAGCGCGACACGCCGCCTCGATAGCCACAGTAGCGACATCTGCGGTCGCGCGGCGGAACCTGGGGCGATCGGAAGATTATTCATTTAGCGACCGCCGGCATCATCTAAAACGTGAGCGAAAGAAATTTAAATTTATTTTCTCCCGCGTCATCGATCGATAAACAAGTTGTTAAAAAAACTTGTAAAAATTTAGATAGTTAGAATTTATAAAATGTTAATTTCATAATTTATTGTTATTTAAATGTTTTGTAGAAGTGCACATATATTTAAATGTTGGATGCGCCGAGCGTTATGGATGTGAACGCAGCCGATCGTGAGAGTGCTACAGAAATGTGGGAACGTCAAAAAGAATAACTATATAGACTTTTAAGATTTTTGAAATGGTGCGATTCCATGGTATGGAACGTATGCACAATGCGGAATTGGTAATACCCTCGTGATTGGTGGTTCAACTTTTTTTACGTTCATTTCGCTGATTTCTATCCGCAATTAGTTACATTTTATCCGCACTGATTGCACGGAACTACAATCTGGAGCCGAGTGTCAGGCGAAATAAGTTTAAACCGGATTACAAGCCGCCATGTAAACGTATAGTCGTAAAGAGGTATTGATCCGATGATGACAATTTAAAATTAGAAGGGAATCGAAAAGTGGAAAGTGCAGAAACGTGCAAAATAGTGTAAAAAAGTGCAAACAAGTAAAAAAAAAAACGGATTACGTGGCGCCATCCGACGGGCAGCCGGCATACCTCGACGGCGCCGCCGCGGCGAGAAACCTTCGCGAAAAGTATTGAATCGGTGACGTCACAAAAGACGGGAGCCAGTGGAAAGGAGTGGACGGGGTGAACGGAGTAGTGGCGTTTGTGCGAAAAAATGTCCGGCTACCGGGATTTATCGTCTACGTGAACGTGCGGCGAACGGTACTCGCGCGATCAGCGGCGTGAGTCGTGAGTCACCGGCGCTACGCGCGCAGGATCGGACACCGGTGCACGTCGGGCACTGGCGATTTTTTCGGTCGATCTCTCTCTCCGGGATCGCGAGCGATCAAGTGCGTGCATGCGACGTGCCTGCGTGCGTGCGTGCGTACGTGCATTCTTCTCCCCCGGGCACGTGCACGGAGCGAAACACGGGGGGCTCCTCCCCCGTCCCGTCGATGCCTGTTGTGGCCCGTCGGGGCTCCGGACCACTCCGGACGACTATGACGGTTCGATCGCGCCGCGCGTAGTCGCGTGAAAAACAAAACGAGCGAGGGCCGCGCGCCGCTTCTAGGTGGATCGACGCTACGAGAGTCTCACGGTAAGCACCGAACTGATCTGCGTGTTCTCGCGATCAGCCCGCGGTCAGGACGGTCGTCGATTCGTTCGCTCGGCGTTCGCTTCTGCGTCTTCCATACGACGGCGGCGGCGGCGAGGAGGTTAGGTTCGGCCAGAGTCCGTTTCCCCAAAGCGGCGGCCGTAAACGCCCATTTTTCTCGACGGGACACGAGATCGGGGCTCGTCGCGAGGATCGGCGTCCTCGTGAATGTCGCGCGGGCGACGTCGACAACCATCGTCGTCGCGATCGTTTATTTTCGTTCTTCGAGCTCTCGATCGCGCGTCCTCGCGGATCAGCGTCGTCGCGAATGTCGCTCGCGCGTGTTTTTCGTGTTCGCGCGGAAGATACGCGGACGCGGATTCTCGGTCGTCGGATTTCACGTTGCGCGACGCAACACGCGGAGCCGAGGAGCTGAAAATCCATGATCGGATCCCTGCGGAGCGAGAACGCGCTCCGAATCCGACGGTGGATTCCGACAATCGCCGATAATCATCGCCCTTCGGCTCGCTCGCCGTCCGACATTTTTGTACGAAAAAGGTGGGCCGCCTCGCGGATCCTTCGCGGAAGCGCGCAGCTTCGTTTCTCGGGGCGGGAGGGTGGGTGGGGGAGAAAAGCGTGCGACGTAAACAAGCGTCATCTACGAGACGACGCTGATCCCGGAATACTTTGCGAGAGTTTGGAGGCGCCCGGAGACGCGAGATATGGAACAGCGCATTTCGATACCGTTGCGAGACGATCAGCTGATATAATAGGGTCTGTTTTCTATTGCCTGAATGTGGAGTAAAAAAAAGATTAACTCCGAACTAGTGGCAGCCGGTTCAGCAATAGAAAACAGACTCATAATATTTCGGTCGCTCGTGCGATCACTACGATCTTTCGAGAGGCGAGACAGGGTCGAGAAAGCGAGAAAGAAAGAAAGAGAGAGAGAGAGAAGAGAGCGCGACGACGACGCTGTCGCCGCGTGTCTCGTCCCTAATCACGACACGGCCTTCTCCGGAGGGCGCGCGGCGGCGATCACCCTTCGACTTTATCGAACGAGCAATGACAGGCCGGGAAAAGAAGCGCGAGGTGGAAGAGGGGAAGGAGAGGTGGAGGTGGAGGAGGCGGAGGCGCGGTCCGCCTCCCGTTTGTAAAGTGTAACGCTCGCAGGGCGTGTTTTAACTGCGGCCGCTTATCTGCGCGGCGACGTGCCCTCTCGTCGCGCGAGTCGCGCACGGCGCAGGTTAGGCTCGCGGCCGATGATCGACGGGCAGTAAACAGTGGCCGGTCGGTGCCTCTGCCGTTTTCGGAGCGGCGAACCCCACGTGCCGAGGGGAAAATCGCGAACCCTCCGTCCCGTCGTCTCTCCGCGATGAGATTCGCTCCCGGCTCCGACGGCCGCCTCTCTCGGAATCTCTCGAGACGGGACGAGTGCGGAGACGCGCGGTGATCTCGGGGAGGGAGAGAGAGAGAGAGAGAGAGAAAAAAAACATTCTCCCTTACGTAAGACGACCTCGTGGCCGCGACTTTGCCCCTTGTACCTCGCCGCTCGCCGCCAGTTTTGCGGAAGCTGGCTGGAGCTCCCGACGGGATTTTTCACCCGCGCGCGTTTCTCCGAATTGTCTCCTTTTCGTCTTTTTTTTTTCTTTCGCTGGCGCTATTTAACCCGCGTCGGGAAAGACACACGCCGCGTTCCGAAATCGATGGGAGCCCTGGGCGCCGATGGCGCCGATGCTGTCTAATGATGACATTTAAATGCGGTGCCGCATCGTTCGATTGTTCGCGCGCGGCGCGGCGGGACGCGACGTTTTTCTTTCTCTTCTCTCTTTTTCTCTTTTTTTTCTCTTTATCGATTTTTCACTTTCTCGCGCGTTCTCTCGCCTTGTGCCTTACGAATTTCCGCGGAGCGACCGTTTTTAGCGACCGATAATTAGGAATTAACGGAGCGTCGTAAACAAAGTCAGTCGTCTTATCGCGATTTTGCTTCTTCCCAAAGCATCCTCCGGTTAAACGGGATTTGACCAGCGGGTTAAACAAGTGGTCGGACCCGAGGCGCAGAGGGAACGAGTCGCGAAGGATCCAGACGAAAATGAGGATCGCCAAGGGGGAATGATAGGTAAGAGGGCTCCGTTTTAAGGTGCGATCGATCTAAGGGATCGATTAAAGGGATCGTGGAGTATGACGATTCCGGCGATGTTGTCTGTGATAGGATGCAAGAGGGTAATACCGCCGTTGCGCTAGCGATGGTGACCCCCGGATACGACCAGGACCCAGCGAGTGGGGTCGCCGACTATACGACTCATCAGGATCAGGCCCAGTTCGAGGCGGACAAGAGGGCCGTGTACAAACATCCGCTCTTCCCGCTACTGGCGTTACTCTTCGAAAGATGCGAACAGGCGACCCAGAGCTCGGACAACTCCACGTCCGAAAGCTTCAACATGGATATACAGGCTTTCGTCCAGCACCAAGAAAGAGACCGAAAGCCCTTTCTGATCAATGACCCCGAGATTGACGGTTTGGTAAGATCGAAACACCTCACCGAAACTCCCGCTCGTCTCTCCTTCCTGTCTTTCCCCGCACGCGCGGTTGTGAGGACCGGAACACAATACAAAAGTACAGGGAATAGGAACACAGAATGCATTGATCATATATGCAAAACTAAACATTACCATTAGAGAGCTTCCGGCTAGATCTGAAGGACAGAAGATATATATTAATAAAGATATAATTGTGACAATTAGAAAAGGAAAGCGGCACTGCAAGCATATCTCCTGTCCTTCAGATCTTGCCGGAAACTCTCCAAAGAGAATGCTCAGTCTATGGCATTGATACACGGCTTCCGATAGGTTGAAAATCCTATTGCTTGCGTTATTCCTTGTTTTTATTTGCCTGTACCTTTGTATTGTGCTCCGGCCCTGAGTCGAGATCGGAAACAAATGAGCGAGAGAGGTGGCGAGAGATGACGATCGGCTGAACGTTTAAAGGCGTTTCCACGGGGACGCGTTTCTTGCAGATGATCAAGGCGATACAGGTGCTGCGTATTCACCTTCTGGAGCTGGAGAAGGTGCAGGAGCTGTGCAAGGACTTCTGCAACAGGTACATCACGTGTCTGAAGGGCAAGATGCAGAGCGAGAACCTGTTACGCAGCGACTACAGCCACCACGGGCACGACATGGGCCCGTCGAGCGGGAGCAACGGCAGCAGTCCGCTGCAGGTTAGACGTTTGCCCGATATGCCGCGATGAAGCTAGGCTCCCCGGTCTGCCCGGTCTCTATCCCCTTACCAACGTAGATATTCCCGTAGTAGAAGGGATGTACGCGAAGAGTCCCGCGACGCCGTTGTCGTCGTTGCCGTTTGCACGTCGGCGATCGTGAATCGCTGTCGATTTGATTGAGGCAGTTAATATATATTGTTACATATCACCGCGTACGAGCGTACGCGTACATCTCTTGAGATATTACTGAATTTCCCATCCCTGCTCTCTGACGGCTAGTTGAGACATATATTTGCCAGGTGCTGTCATCTACAGGCAATGATGTTGAGTCGGGAGCTAACGGATTCAGAGTGAGCCGAGGGGACGTCGCCGTGGCGGAGAACGACGGCGCGAATTCGCACGCGCGAGAAGAGAGCGTTAATCACGACCAACTGTCGGCGGTCCGACCGTCTTCCGCCGTCCAGCGCTCGGGCAAATCCACTAGCCAGGACCATGACGATCCGCTCTCACCGTCCACGGTGCACGGAAGTACGCCTCTCTCGCAGATCGGGGCGCATCCATGCGCCCCGGTTAACGACATGTATCTCGGCCAAGGTGAGTTTGAACCGCGCGACGCACCAAAGTTGATTCTTTTCGATCGTTCACGCCGATCGAAAGTTGCGTTGACCCATTCAGGAATCAGGATCGGTTGATCGGTCGAGATATTCTCCTCTCTCGTCGAAACTCTGACTCTTCTTGCTTCTCTCCTCCTGGAGCAGCAGTTGTATTTTGCGCATGACGGATCTCCTGCTAAAATTCCGTTTATAGATGACAGTAGCGAGTATCTGCGGACCATCTCCAACAGGATATACCTGGAAGAAGCCGGATACTGGGGACTACTCGCCTTGCGAGAACGAGAAAACGCGGAATACGCGGATATCGGGAGATCTAACAATCAAAAGTATTTCGGTTAGGAATATAATGTGTTTCCTTCCGCGTGCGCGCGCCAGCGCTGAGAAATAGTAACGACTCGTTGCCGTTGCTATCTCTCAACGCGCAAATTACACCGTTATGCTATATCGCATTGAGGATCACGAGTGTAATGGATCACGTCGATCGTGTTTAGACATTACAGTTGCGGGCTCGCCTTCTCCCGCGGCGAGCGAAGACGAGGAGGAGGGTGCCAGCAACGCGGCCTCGAATCACGCTGGGAATCATAGGAGTAATCACGGTAGCGCTAGAAAGGGACGTCAGAAGCGGGGTGTCTTACCCAAACACGCAACTGGCATTATGCGAACGTGGCTCTTTCAGCATTTAGTAGTGAGTAACAATGTCGACAAAACTATCATTCGCGATACGTTTGTTCATTCGTATCTAACGCCCATCTGTCGCAGCATCCGTATCCGACTGAGGATGAGAAGCGTCAAATTGCCAGCCAGACGAATTTGACGCTGTTGCAAGTGAACAATTGGTTTATCAACGCTCGTCGACGGATCTTGCAGCCCATGCTGGATGGTGCGGGCACGGACGTGGCGTCGCGCGCGGGGAAACGTCACAAGACCTCGAAACACGCCGCGCAGCAACAGGCGGCCCAGCAACAACAGGCGGGCTGGCAGTCCGATGATTCGGCGAGTGACTCGGGTTCTAGCGACGGTGAGGGAGGTGCCGCTAGATCGAAAGACGGTAACGATAGCGATGAGGATGATCTTCACTGACCTCTGTCGATCACCGAAACGTCAACCTCTTTACGGTACCTTCAAATCCAGTTGCTCATTACAGTATTAAGGTATTCGGGAATAGATATCGCTTTAACTGTCAAATACGTAATTAATCTTGTGAAAGTTAAGAATATGCGGATAGAGGTTATCACGCTCTCTGATCATTCGATACTTTGATTTTTCGTTAGCTACTCGACCGATCTGCTTTTTTACGACAGCTGATTAGATTTTTAATCTCGACTCGTATATTATTCACGTGTTAACGGACTCAGAAACGAGAACTGAGATTGAATAGGTACTAGAAAGAGCGATTTACTTAAGTACATCTAACTCAAACGAAAATATACCTATACGTTTGCATTACGCTACGGGAAATGTTATTTATTTTTCGACGACAAATTTGTAAGTGATTCGCGCACAAGTGGAGATAAATCTGAGCTTTCTTTGAAACTACGATCTTTTGTTAGTTTAATTACGTCACTTGTAACAAACGTACGTCCCTGATGATACTATTATTTATGACACTTGTAATGTATGTAAAAGATATATGTTGTTTTAAGTATAATCACATTATATATTTATATGTATATATATATTTTTTATATATTTATATATAACGTGATTATAACGACTTGACTCGAACAAAGATTTGCCACAAAAAGAAAGATGCTTTTCTGATAATTATTCATATTTTCCATTCAATGTACATTCTTAAGCATTATCCAAGAATTATACAAATTTATTCTTTTTGACGTGGTGCATTAATTGTCGCTCAGTTTTATAACTTTGACACTATTATGTGTTGGGCGTATAATAAAACAATTTTGTTCCATTTGGACAAAGTCAAATTTTTTTCTGCTAGCTTTGCCGGCAATACTATGTTATTACTGCTATTGTTGCGATTAATACTGTTACCCAGATATTAACTACCATTACGACTACTATTGTTACTACTATGCTACTTCTAGTAATAGTATCACTACTACTATTGCTATTTCTTCCATTACCGCTATTACTATTACTATACTACTATTTCTACTATCATTATTAATATTATTACTGTTAACACTATCGCTCCTGCTACCGCTAAAGCTACTGCTACTACTACTATTATTACTACTACTACTATTACTATTACTACTACTACTACTACTACTGCTATTACTACTATTACTAAATTACTAGTACTATTACTACCTATTACTACTAATACCTTGTACTGCTCCTACCACAATAATTGTCATTTTTGTGTCACAACAAAATATCCGCATATTTTTTATTTTGTGATTATAATGCGTGTGAGCTGTTTTTGAGGTTGAGAAATTGACCTGCTTTACAATTTACAACTTATATAAGGCAATCCAATATGGACAGTGTATGAGAAATGGTAACGGCAATTGCTAACGTTGTTAGCAAATTGAAAGTTGTAAAAAGATGATATGGATAATTAATTAATTTCCAAATTAGATTGAGAATTATAGTTCATAGCATGCAATATTAATTGTACTTTTCGTGCCATTAAAGAGCGTGGTAACTTCCGCGTTTAGTCTTTGTTCAGCTCTGCAGTGTCGTGGCATAGCGAAACGCTGTCCCTCCATGATAATAATAATAATTAATAATAATATAACTAATAATGATAATAATTATTACGCTATTGATAAATGATAATAATTATAACTATAATTATATACAATAATGATAATAGTAATAATAATATAACAGCAGCAGCAACACAACCACAATACAATGATGATATGATACTACTTTAAATATATGATGATTATATTTTTAAACTCTAAGTGTCGTCCCTTGAACGTGTACTGCACGTGTTACATGATACTGTACATATTACATGCGGAACTGTTAGTGAGACAGAGAGAAAGAGAGACAGACAAAGCAGAGAATAAATATTACCAAGTATGTTAAGAAAAGCTAATACTTTTCTTGGAAATAAGAAATTGGATATATCCAATGATAACGATATAATACATTTTGGGATATTAATGTTTAACGCACTGGCTGTCTACATGTGATCATTACGTTTTACCAGTCGAAATTTTTCTTATCGCGCTACTTTGGCGGGCAGAAGCTCGCTCATCTCGAGCCTCCTACGCGAGTCCGGCGAACTTTCGATATCCACTCGCGAACTGGCTGTTCTCGCCGATGCATTCTCGTGTACATACCGTTCTTCCTGGATACACATACGCGTGTATATTTATGCTTTCTCCGAAGCTATCATTTCCTCGCGATCCGTCCATCGAGATTTGAATGGCTAAGACCGTCTTACCTTGTTAGATTTGACGTAAAGTAACGTAGCGTAAAATTAGTTGTTTCCAAGTTAACAATTCCATATAGGAGGATGTAATCTTGCTGTATCGACAGAAGTCGCAGGAACGTGGAATTCTCATTTTGTTCTTAATTTCTATTTTGCTTTCATCGTTATTGTCGCTGTCACTTTTCTCACGGATATCGCAGTTAGCGATAAGCTGACACTAGTCACTCGATCATAGGAGGGGAATGTGTCATATAATGTAGCCTGTCGAGACGTGGTTGCCTTAAGTAGCCAAATATCATTTCCTCTGTACTTATAATTTTCACGTTGATTCGATGTATATATAGCCAATTGACAAAGTGCTTCCATTAGTAGCTTGTTCGACCTGTTCTTACAAACTCTTTATAATTTCTTTTTTTTTCCTCCATTTCTCAAACGTATAGATTTTTGTACGCCCGACACTCTCCGCTCAATCACCTAATCGTAATGTCGATTGTAATATCGTAATCATGCGGAATATTTGAATATGCGATATAACTTGAGTAAAACGATATTATCAGTTGCAGACAGCTGACAGTATAGCTCCCGTGCACGGTGCCGCGATATCAGTCTGTTTAAAGTAAATAACGTTCGGCTACAACAACGATAAACATCAAAAAATAAAACGGAAAGACGAGGAACATGACTCTGCGTTGCTCAATCAACACTGTTTCCTGACTTGAAGAAAAAACATTCATTGAGAGATCTGTGCTATTCTCAACGGATTGTTTGTAGTAAAAGTAAAGCAATAACTTACAATCGCAATCTAATATAAAAAAAAAGTGTAATCACTCCTCTAGAAATTATTGCTTCGACGAGCTACCTCGTACGGGGCTATACTGTATCCGAGAACTAAATGAACGTAAGATAACGCTTAGATTAAGAGGTAGGTTGTAAGGCTGAACCACGTATACGTATGTGCTGCGGCACCAGACGACTGTGATAATTCGGTGGGCGGTGCCCAGCCTCCTACTTCACTCCTTGTATACTGAAAATTAGTTAAAAGAAAGCGCAAACGATTACCGAAGAGGTTGAACGTATGTCGGGACGTGCGTTGCGTAGACCGTTTCCAATCCATATGCACGCGGACAGGCCGGAAAAAAAACGCGTATATGCACCTGGCATATCTTTCACCGGGCACTCTCGCTTTTTTTACTTTGCACGGATGTTCGTGACGTAAAACTTCATTGCGACGCGTGCATGTGGACACTATATACAAGACGTAAGTGTCTGTCGAATTAACGTTAATGCGAAAAAAAAATTATCTATCGAGAATTAAATTAAAAAGAAAGAGATATATAAAGATAGAAATGGGTCAAATAGCTTGTGTAATGCAGAAATTATGTTACATGCAGGTATCGGGAAAATCGAAAAAAGTGATGTTCATAGAATTTCATAATTACGTGCTTACTTTGTACTATAATCAAATCTCAGTATTCCTAATTCATCTGGACAATATTCTAATATTATGGACGTACCTCCTCGCCTTCATTTCAATGGCACATACATATGCAGAATGAAAATGTCGTTTCTTTTTATCATGTGCACATTTTCACTCTATGCATGCCTGATCAAATAGCAAATGTACAGTGGCAAAGCAGTGATAAGAAAAATTGTCTATTTTATAGATGTTGGAACCAGTTAAAAATATCCTGATTATTTAGGTTATCTAGAAAACAGTGAGATTCTGTATAAATTTCTTATCCGAATCAACCTCTTTTCGAGAATGGCCCATTTCTAACTTTGTCCAAATTTCAAGTCGTAAATGAGAAACATATACTTAAATGTATACTAAAAAAAAAAGAAAGCCTAGATATACAAATTAAATACTTCTTTCCCATGTACATCAACGCCCTGTTAAATAAGTTGTTTATCGATAATAAACGCCATCACGCTTGCATTATCCCCTTTTTATTTTTACCGCAATTATGTAAGATGCCATTTGTTTTAATACTGTCGCTATATTTCTACACCATTGCTCCAACGAAGAGCGATACTTTGCATATAAAGTGAAGATGATTAGGGAAATATGCACTAGAGATTTAATATTTGTGATAAAAAAAAACATTTCTTAAAAACTAAACTTGAAAGAAAGGGGAGAGAAAGAGATATATATACTTTTCCGCTATTGTTTTATGATTCATATTTCGATTTTTTTAACGTTACACGAATAATCAATTTTAATCGCTAAAGTTGCTGTATTTTAGCACTTTTATGTAATTTTTATTTTAAAAATCTTACCACTACCTAAATCTTACGACTACCTTAAATACACATTCATTCATTTATATACATGCGCGCACAACACAAAGCTACTAAACTTATTTTCGTTTCAGTCATCTAATGTCTTTTTTCGTATAACTTCATAAATAATTAATAATATAGGTAGAGAAAGTAGAGGAAAGATTCACCTTGCCATTTACATTAAGTGTCAAAAATGCGTCCGTGATTTTTTTCAAATGAACCACTGTGGATGGAGCGATGACGAGAAATAAGATAATTATAAAGATAACAATGCGAGACACATCCGGGTATTTTTCGGGGTATAAAATAATCGTCCGAGGGCGTACCACACATACGGTTAAAGGCTAGTTACCGGAACATCTTGATTTTCTCGATGATTATCCAACCTGGTCATTGATATGTGGTCCGCGGCGTATCCCTAGCAATCAGCGGTCCTCCTGAAAATGTCATTAGTATAAGTATGTATATGTATGCGGTGCAAATTACCTTTTGTAGAAAGACGATACAAACCTCGAGTTAAATAACACATCGGCTCGATTATTGACCAGCCATACTAACACAAACGAGAAACCGGCGACCAAACTACCCAGAATCAGACTAAAGCGTTCCGTCGCTGCCGCTGGTTTAAGAAACATTCTAACGCTTAACGTTTGCCATATAGATTCTGTCCAAGTCGAGTAGACACCCGATTTCATGTCGTATTCTGTAATAAGAGAAACAATTGGATATCCCCATATCTATCGCGAATAGCGTAGCAACTTACCCTCAATAATAAACGCGGGACTCACAGCCGTACTGTAATTGACGGTTGAATTGATACACAAGCCCGAAAAGTTCTGACCGCCCATCCAAGCAAGCCGATTTTCGTGGCACGTTGTTTCGTTCATATCATAGAGCTTTTCGCCCGTCAGGTAGGCCAAGAGCTGTCCCGTCAAAGTCGTCGCGATGTTGAGCACTCTGTGCACCCCGACGTACAACGGCAAGACCTGATCGACCAATTTGGCATTAGGCGCCGAAGCCGCACGAAACAGAGTACACTTGGCGCTCTCCAAATAGCAATATAGCATTTCCGCGGTGAGCTTCTCCATGGATATCGGCAGATCGACGGGCTCCGGTGCTTTGCCCGTCACTTCCCGGTAAAGCTCATTAGCAACCTGAAGAGCAATTTTCGCTAAATCTGATGCAAGCGCGCTAGTATCGTTTCTAAAACATGATAGACAAGAGAATCTCAATAATACAAAATCAAGTAATGCTAAAACATGAGGTATGTATTAAAATCGAACAAATTACGTGTATGTACCTATCAAAATTAAGACTCTCTGCGTCATCCAGGATACCATTGTAATATCGGTTCTTAAACTGTCTCTCGTGATTGGTTATAACAATGGTCGTTAGATTCGGTTTCGCCTCCAGGAAACTTTGCACGGACGTGGGTGGAACGCTACCATTTATAACCGACGCGCTATAACCAGTCAACCATTTATAACCATTCAACGCGCGCTGCAAACGTTTTATTATATCGTCGTTGCCATTGCTATGAAGAAATATGTTTCCCTTGCCCAACTGGCCAAATTCGATCACAGTCTGGATATCGTCGAGTTTCAAATTGACTCCGCCAAGGGCGTTAAAATTGTTGTGCTTCAAGTCGTACACCATACGACTGGATCCTATGTAATCAAACGCCTCTCCATTCAGCAGAGAGAAGACAACGTTCGTATCTGGATATAATAATGAGAATAAATATATATATTATATTATGTTTACATTTGAACATCGCGCGACAATTCTGAGGAAAGATCAATACGTACTGTTGACAGTGGCATTTAAGACATTTAGGTAGTACGCGGTGGCAAGCAACGTGACCAGTCCTGTTATTGTATTACTGGCACCGGGCGACACACCGTCGAATAACGACGACGCGTCCAATCGTGCCGTCACCATTATCACCGTATTGTTATTCTCGTCGAGAGGTGCCAGGGGCCAGTGTATATTCCTATCCCCAAGGGGGTCACAAAACGGCGTCGGATTGAAATTCATCATGAAATCCGAACGCTTTATGCAAGATTCCGAGTTAACAGCGGCGTGCATAAATGACTTCATTTCTATCGCGCAGAGAGATCTCTGATACTGCGTCTCCAGGTCGTGTGCGTTATGCGCCCAGAAACAGGTCTTTATGGCCTCCAGGATCGTCTGATTCTGTAAACACGATACTTTTAACATTTGGTCCATATAAGGCACACTTTTGGCACGCAAAATTCGTACTGTTACAATCTCGTCCGACCTCTGTGTAGAACATGGGGAACGGCCAATCTTCCATGAGCAACGCAGATCCGAAAGGGTTCCACGGTTCCGTCTCATTGCACTTCTTATAACCGGAATATCGATTTGGGCACTGGTCCTCGGGCGAATACTTCGACGGACGTTCGTGGCTGGCATTTCTCGTCAGCAGCACGCCATTTATGTTGTTCGTGTTCTTCAGTCTTACAAGCGTGCTTCTGTCGAACATCGCGAACGGCAGGACCACGGTGTACGGGCCGGCGGTGGAATTTTTTTCTATCCAGGCGATATCGTCGTCCACCTCGACCAAGTGTACCACACCTACGCTTCCCGATCTACTGGCTGTAAATAACGGAGACGTCGCAAACGTCAGTAAAGCAACATGAAATGGTCGAGAAGAAGACTGAGGATCAACAATCGTGGAAGTGTGACGGGCGAGGGGGAACGAGTGGCGATTCTTACAGGAACATCCGAATTGATGTGTGCCATTGTGCTTTCGGAAACACGCAGCTACACCCTCCAAAGGCATGTATATCATATCCTTTATTCTTTCGGAGGTCACTGGAAATAAAATAATTCCGATAATTGCGATACACTGAAATTGAATGGCACGTAAGACACGTGGAGCTCGGGGGGGGGTTACCTGAATTTATGATGACTACTGCCAAAACGTACTTCCACATTTCCATCGCCATGTTCCGTTGTTATCGCTCGTGCTCGAGAGTACCCGAGATTTACGCAATTCGACCAGAATTTCGGAGCATTACCTGGTGCTGTTAGGATACATCTCGAACGCGAGAATCAAGGTATGAAAACAATTAATGACACATCGTGTGAGTCATGGCAGAGAGAAGTCTGAGAACAACAGCAGCAGCCATGGGTGCAATCGGGCGCAATTTAGCTGTGTGCAGTGTGCTCAGGGTGCTGTTACTTTATTTCGAAGCGCCTCTATGTCCCTTAAAATGTGAACGTTGAACTACGTAGCCAATATCCACGAATCCCGTAGATAATGTCCATGATTTTGCATTTGGGGTTCTCTTCCGTGCTGTTCGCGATTTTTTTCTTCTTTTCCGAAGAGAACAAAAAAATAATGAATTTTGAATATAAACACGGAAGAGAACTAAAAAATCATGAACGTAACACGGAAGAGAACCACAAAATTGACAAAATCGTGAACGTTGTCACAAAAGTTGTAGATATAGCGGGGAGATAACCATAAAATCGTGGACATTACCTACGGGATTCATGAATATTGGCCACGTAGTTCAACGTCCATATGGACGTAGAGAGGCGCTTCAAGGTAAAGTTTTCAATTTGAAACGAATCTGACATGTTCAAAAGTTCGAAAATTCCAATCGCTTGGATATCGAAGCCCTCCGGTTTGTAATTCGTCTAAACGGGCTTTCGTGAGTAGAGAATCTACCGAAGTCTCGCGGCGGAAATTGCGCGTTGAACGAAGAGGCTTCGTGGAGAGGCTGAATCGGGCTGAATTTCGAATTGAGTGCGAAGCTACGCGGAGTAGTGGCAAGGTGTGCAGCGTCCGTTTCTCCAAGCGGATTGTTTTGATTGTCACATGGAGCAGAGACGGGACACACCGAACGAAAAGCGGAAGGGGGAGAATCCGTTGGCGTGCAGCCCCTGGAGGCGCGGGACTCCGGTGAAGCGAAACGATAATCACTTGAAGCAGCTGACGTGTCAAAACGGCGCGCAATGCCTGCCGTTTCATATGACACCACCGTCCAAGCTGAGGAAGTTCATCACCAAGAATCCCTTCGAGCCTGATTTGATCAACAGACTGCACCTGTCCACGATCAGCCCGACCGTGTTCGCCAAGGTCATTTTGCTTGCGGAAGCTCCGTAAAGGAGTTACCTCGATCGACAGTGAGTACCTGTGCTGACAGCGAGCGCTAATCGCTAAAATTGCTGGCGATATTTAGGTTCCCAGTCCTGCGCAACACTCCCCGGGATTTACGTGGAGCATAGAGGAGCTGGCTCACATGAAACCGGCGAGGATCGAGGATTCACCGGTACATCAGGTGCACTCTCCCGATCTGGAACTGGAGACTCGGGCCCAAGCAGCTATAGATCGATTCTTCAAGCAGAATCAGATAATTCCCAGCCCGTGGGACGTCAAGCAGGAGGGCAAACCCCTTTTAGCCCTGGACACTCCCAACAGGCTTTTGAACGACTTGAATTCTACTCAGGAACCTTCGAAGATGACAAAAGATGGTAGGATCTAATAAGAGATCGATATTTCGAAATTGATCGATCTCATCGCCGTTGTATTTACAGCCTGGAGTCAGACGATATTGTCTCTACCTCTGGATCTGCCTCCGAACGTGGAAGAAGTTTTAAAGCCCTTCTTCAATTTTACTCAGGTTTGCCTGTAGTGGCTGTCGAAGATGGAAGTATGATTATCTCTCTTTTGATAAAAATGTTCTTGTTTTCCAAAGGAACAAAATGTAGACGGCGACGATGTAAATTCGAGCAACAATTCGCTGAGGAGAAAATTATTTTTCTGTCATGACGAGGGCACTGACAACGATGAGAGTTTTACGTCGTTGTCACCGGTTAAAATGAACGAGTCCATGGCGTTATCTTGCAGCCCTCCTCAAAGTGGCATGTTTGTTCACGGTACTCCGTTAAAGGTACGTATTTAACAGTATTACACATTCAAGTAATTTTTTTTATATAACAGTAGCAATTTTGTACTTCGACAAATAAGATTGATTATGGTCTATAGTTCGTGCATATCGCTAAAATTAACGTGATGATGTGTTTCAGAGGCTACAAACTAGACGGCGAAGCAATAGATCGTCCATAGTGATGTCTGAAAACTTATCGCCACCTAACATGTCGCCAATACATGAAGCTGAGAACAATAGGTTGTACGAAAGAGTTGAACATTGCTCTTCGGCCACTCGGTTAAACTTTATGATAGACATGAGCACAGACGATATAGCTGAAAGAAAAGATCAAAGTTCAGTTAATGGCTATCATTCGTTAGGTAAATTAGCTTTTTGTTATAGCCTAATTTTTTAATACATTCTTTTCCCTTTATTTATATATTACCTTCACTTATACAACTCTTTGGAAAAGGAGTTGCCTGTATTGCTCCAACGAAATGGGGAAGATAACTTACCCATTATCGTCCTAATGAACAAACTGCTCACAGCATGACAACAGATTGGCAGTAGATTTGCTCAAATTTCGCAACAGATCTTTGCCGATATAATCTGCTAACAGATTTCTAACGAAAAATCGAGCAGAATCTGTTATTTCATAAACATTAAAAATAGAACACATCATTTAAATGGTTACGAAATGGCAAGTTTTGTTGAGTTTTTACAGCCATTATATTCTGTTAACAGATTCTTATATTTCTGTTGGCATTCTATCGACAGAATTTGCAGCAGACACTTTCGAAATTTGTTCTCGATAGATTTGGCTAACGGGAATGATAAGGAAAGTTAACAGTATCAATGTTGCGTACTTGCATAAAGCAGATTGTATCATAGTTAGAATTCTGAAGAGTTCAATAAGTTACAAATATAGAAAGAAGGGGTTTAAACATAGTTTTACGTTGACTGTCCTTAGAGAAAAGTAAATCTCAAATAATTGTTGTACCACTTTTCCCATTAAAGTATTACAGTATTAATGCCTATCACAAGCAAAACAGATATACTCGTAACAATATTTTGTTAAAAATATGTTTTAGATATGTCCAGTAGGGAAATTGACGTGAAACGTACTGGAGACAGTGACAAATTGATAATTATAAATAATGATAAAACAAATGCATGTGATTCCATTAATATGGAGGAATTACCAAAATGTATAAATTCGACTGACAATATTGTGCATTCCAGCGCCGTTGTATTTAGTGATAAGGAACATAATAAGGAAACGGCAAGTTTTTCACGTGAAAATCATAAACGGAGTAACATAATGTCCGGCGCGTTCGAGCAGCAAAGTATATCGAATTCAGTTCAAGACACTGGTTATCAAACTCACAGTATGAATAGCGCAATGTGTACAATAGACAGTTACAATACTTCGACGAATCACAAAACTCTCTGGAATGAAAAAATAGCGATGTCCAAAGATTATACTCAACTATCTTGGAGAGAAAACATTAGAAACGTATTTAGCTCTACACCTTCCAAACATAATAAAAAAAGTGGAACTTAAATAGAATCATAGAAGTCGAATTCATAGACGAAATGCTCAAGTAGATGACAATATTTAGCTCACAATTATCATAAAAAAATATAGCGAATGTGTATGATTTATTTTTTGTCATAAATTTATTCTTAACCCTTATATTATAATCAATTGAATTAAATTGCTTTTTGATAAGTGGATCTCAATTTGATGTAGGCAATATTATTTTCTTCGCATGTCGAACTTGACATTTTATAATTATTTAATCTAATTGAATTGGATCTGACTAGCCTATATGATTTTCACGAGGATGTTATTCTACTTTTTAATGTGCTATAGAATAGAGATTTCAATATATCTATTATATAAATATCTCGTCGAGATACTTTTATGTGGCTATATTCTTAACATTTGTTCGGTCAAAATGTTACGTTAAACGTAACGTCTCGAAACTTTTGCTAAGGAAAAATTGGCTCCAGATTATTCAAAAGAAACATTTACATTTTTTAATCATTTCTTTATGATCAACATCATTGTATTGTATTATTAATATTGGAAATTCACCAGACAAACTTTCAGAGATTGTCGGGGGCACCATAAGGATCATTTTTTGCAAATGGACCCGGGGTCGGAAACGCGTTGTTACTGGATCCTTATAGCTCCAGTAATAGATTCTGTAACTCGTTATGCTGTCGTTAAGTGCTCATAACGACAGTTGTGCGGGTATACTATATGGTAAAAAAGCTGCGCAACGACAGTATAACGATAACGATTGAAAGTTTGTCCAAACACTCTGTATATTAAAGTATGCCATAATTGCTACGTGGAATAAAAAATGCTGAATAAAATAAGCAACAAGTTTTGCAATTTTCTTCATTTGTTTCATTAGATAAAATTTTCTTGTAGTTACAGCCTAAAATATTAAATATACTCAAGATATATATATAAGCAAGATCAAAAACTTAACAAACATTTTACAGCATGATTCATCTAAAATGAGTAATAATAATAATAATAATAATGATATATATAATTATAATATTACATATTACGCCAACAAAATTCTTATAATATACAATCTGTGTAGGTATATACATACATACATATATACGTACGTGTGTGTGTGTGTGTGTGTGTGTGTGTTTATGTGTGTGTACATATAAATTAACATATCTCTGATCTTCCAAACCCAAAGGATTCTGCATTTGGCACGATGTCATGTAATGGAAGCAAACCAAACACATCATGTCTTTTGATTGTCCCTGGCTAGTTACAATGACACATCGTAATCTGCTTTGCTCCATACTTTGTGTTTTTTTTGTGTCTGTCATAGGATGACTTCGCCTGT